GAATAAAAACATCAAGAGAATTTATAAAACAATCAATTTAATTAAGTTCAACTTCGCTTATGCAACGGGAATATCTTCACCCTGTGGCTGGTAGCCGTTCTCATCGGCAATGTACGTAATTGAGTGCACTTTGCCCTCAGTATCAACCCAGGCGAACGAGCCCTTAACGACAATAGCTTGTTCTTCGCCAATTTGCTTGAGGTTTCCTTCGGCTTCTTGTTGGTTACCATTATTCAACTCCAAGCTGTATTAGGGAAAGCCAAGGATAAGTAAAAGCTTAAGCGATCACCTCATGTGCTTCATTTACCTGTACTTGAAATTGTCAATGCCAACATCTTGATCCTGGCGCAGAACTTGGGCATCTTGATCTTGAGCAGGAGCTGCCACTGCCAGGGCGAAGAGAGCAACGAAGACGATGAGGAACTTCATGTTTAAGTAGATGTGTTGCGCGTTTGAGACTTCAAAGGTAACCGTGACTTAGAGGGCTGTAAGCCTGAGTATTTATAGCAAATCAGCTGCCGGCCGAACAAAGGTGAAAAACTAGTTTAGTGCCAAAAGCTGACAAAAAAATCACAACTTAATATGCACATAAATAATAAATGAATACATTTATGTAGATATGAACGTATAGCATAGATATAAGTATTAACTTATGTATATTTATATATGTATATATTTTTGCAAAACGATATTAATCAATTTTAAAAAATTCTTTATTTTAGACAGAATACAATATACACAGGGACACTAATGTCCACTGAGACACTAATGTCAGCGTGCACCGCCTCTCTCTCGTTCTCCCATTTTTGTATACCGTATAGAAACAAATGTTAATAATATTAATAATTAATAACATAAAAAATTAAATAATAAATTGATAGAATGACAAACTAGTTTACATATGAAGCAAATGATGTCTGCCTATATGCGTGGTTCATTCGGAATGTGATAATGGTGATGGGATGATGAACACAATAATGATATGCATGATAATGAAAATATGAAAATTGTGATAAAGATGATCATAATTAACATGTTATGGATGCTGATATTGATGATAGCTGATGAGGTGAATAAACATAATCATGTACATTCCATTCGGATGAACGTCAACTACCCTAGCTAATGTCTTTCTATATTTGATACCCATTCAGAATTGAAACTTACAATATAATAGCTTGATGAAAAAATATGAAAGAAATCATAAAAATAAATATATTTTTTATCAGAGCGATTTCATATTGTCCTGTCAAAGGAGATATCAACTTCAACTTTATTATCGAACAATCGGTACTCGACTAAACTGTGCATTACTCTTGACTGGCATTAGCATTTTCGAATCGAATTGATATCCGACGGTAGAAGAGAACGGTATATAGATAACGGTATATAATGTCTACAGCAAATACTCCATCCCTATCACCTTTAATGAAGGACATTTGAAACATTTTATTGCCTCATATATAGCAACTTCCACTTCAATTAGGGGCGTTGATCTAATGAATACAAATATACACTTAGTATACTTAAATACTAAAAATGTAATCATGGTGCATCTGAAAAGAACAGTTATATCTATATAGCTCTCATAGCAAAGCCCCAAGCGCAGCAATAGCAGCTGCTTTACGCATTTTTGTATATATATATTTTATGTACAGAAATGAATCGTATAGTGAAATAGAAGCTCCTTAAAAGGGTTCCCGATATATCCTACTCCAATACTCTCTACTTGATGTCTAAGTAGAGTAGCATATCTATAGCCTCTATAGCTTGATCTACGGAGTTGGATTGGATGTTCAATTGATGCTTGCAATAAACCATTTTTATTAAATAAAATATATAAATTCAACTTCTAGGAAGTAAGAACAGCTCTTGTGTGATGAAAGTTAGCTAATAACTAAGCATTGGGCAAATGGGCGCCCTCTGGCTGGAAGCCGTTCTCATCGGCCACATAGTTGACAGTGTAGGTGACGCCATCATCAGCGGTATAGGAGAAGGAGCCACGGACAGAGATCGCTTCGTTCTCGCTGCCAGCATTGTTCAGGACACCCTCTTCACTGTGCTGCTGGCCGTCGCTGGTCTCCCAACTGTAGAGAGGACAACGAATGTGTTTAGAGAGATGCTTGCGTTGATGAATTTCGTCTCATAATTTACCTAAACTTGTAGCCAGCGGGCTGGACATCGGACTCCTGGCGCAAAATCTTTGCATCCTGGCTATTGTCGAGTGGAGCAGCCAGGACAACGGCCAGGAGGGCGGCGAAGACAATAGCGATGGTATATTTCATATTGATTGACTTCGAATTGCGAACGCGAGCTACGGACTGTGAACTGTTGTTGGTTTGTGATGTCTACAACGGCTGTCCAGGGGCCTTTTATACCGAAAATGGCTAATACTGAGTGTCCACCAAATAAATGACTACAATACGATATAAATGAAGAAAAGTTTGTCCAAAATCCGATGAAAAAAATAAATAAAAATGACTAATTACACAGCTCAAGCGCATCAGCTAACAAATTGGCTTGAAAAAACTTACCAACAGGTCTCTCTAGTCTGCGTGTGAAACGCAAAAACAAAACAACAAAAATCAACGTCAAGACAGCCATAACAACAACAACAACAGCTACTACAACAACAACAGCAACAGAAATAATCGATAATAACAAAAACTTCTAAGGCAAACAAAACAAAGATGTTCATAGGAAATATCACAGACATCATTATGATACGCCACGTATATCATAGTCAACTCGATAATCATGATCAGCATTGCGACGAATTTGCATTTTTCGTGAATCAATCAAAAAGCTTCAATTTCATTTTCGACATATCTCAGATAGATATCCCCACACAGTCAAAGCTTATTTACCCTACAGCATCAAAGCTCAATGAAAACAAGTCCAAATTATCATCGAAATATTTATATTTATATACATATACATATTTCCATATACTTATACTTATTAAAACAAATTAATCTTTTTTCAATAACTCTTGGCTGCACCGGAAATAATAGGAAACACATTTTACACCCAAACTAATTTGTAATTGAAATCTGTGTCAAAGCCAATCAGAATAACATGGAAAATTATATACATTAACATATGCGTGTGTGTATATAACAATTTAAATTTTATTTTATTATATTTTTTAACTTTTTAAATAACTATATATAAATATAAAAATATGTATTTATTTATACATTTATTTTTAAATTTTTATTACATATATTTATTTATATACATATTGTGTACCAGTTAGCTTATGTGTATTTATTTATCTCTTAGCTTCAAATATATGAAAAAAATTTATGAAAACATGTTTCTATTCTCTTCTACTTTTTGTTGACTTTTGGTTTTTTTGTTCCAATGTATTGTTTATTTTCTATTTCTTTTTTTGTTTAGTAGCAAGTTTTCAGCTTAAAATATAAATAATTTATTCATAATATATGCATTGTTAAAACAGATGTTCGATTGCCTGGCCGCTGAGAAGGTCAGATCCTGGTTTTCAAATTCTAATGTGTGAATATCTATTGGGGGTTATCCTGCTCCATCAGTAAGAGAGTTCAAAATTACGTCTCCGTTGAGTAAAGTATCGTTAGGTTACGTATTCATTGCGCACAATAAGAGATTAAGTAATGCGAATGAGTTAATAAATTGACCTACTTATATATGCTAATTAGTCCTAATTATATATTTTAAGAAGATCCAGAGTAATAAATAAAAATTAGTATAACTGTTACTGGTTATATTATTATGATAATCAGGCATTTCTAATTGCATGTTTTTGCCAGTTTATCTAGTTTGACTGAACTTTTTCAATTTTTGCTGCATAAATTATTGGCATGCATTTTTTTTTTTTTTTTTGATGTTTGACTGCTCAGGTTGTTATTTGCTCCACCTATAAATACCCCACCAATCTGTGATCTCAGTTAGAGTTACCTCTGAAATCTCAAACGCACTACACATCTGTCTAAACATGAAGTTCCTGATCGTCTTCGTTGCTCTCTTCGCCCTGGCCGTGGCAGCTCCTGTTGAAGTTGGTATCGAGCGCCAGGAATCCGATGTCCAGCCCGAAAGCTTCCAAAACTCGTGAGTGTCACGTATTGTGAGAATATTGAAGCATTCGCTGATCTTGATCTCTTTTCCCAATATAGATTGAAGTTGACTGATGGTACTGCAATTGAAGCTCAAGGTCACCTCGAGAACATTGGCACAGAACAAGAATCTCTTGTCGTCAAGGGCTCATACACCTTTGTTGCCGACGATGGTGTTACCTACTCTGTTAGCTACATTGCCGATGAGAACGGTTTCCAGCCACAGGGTGCTCATCTCCCAAATGTCTAAAACGTGACAAAGTCAACTTCAAAAAATAAATCGATTGTTTCATCAACTTGCTTGGTGTGTTTATTTCTTTCCTTATTACTTAGACTTATTTTCATAACAGCTACTCTATGTAGTCCCATGTTGGATTGCATTGCGGAATATTTGCCATTGCCTCTTGGTCAAGCCTATAGAAGACCCTACAAGATGTATTACTACTAAGCACTGGTGACAACAACTGATGGCAAAGTACAGTCCAGTCTCGATAATTTATATTCAGCTAAATCGAAAATAAATCGTCAAAAAATTCCAACCCCTTGTAAAAAAATTCGTTCTCGATAATTCACGATAGTATGTATATCGAGTTATCGGTACTCGACTGTAACTGTGAATTACTTTTGACTGGCATTAACATTTTCGAATTGAATTGATATCCGACGTCATCGTGGTAAAAGAAAACGGTGTATAGATGAGCACCGTTGCAGCGACAAGTTTTGAACGTTTCATTCAATCTGCTTTTAAATGATAGAGCCATTGAATCATCTTCTCCAGTGGAAATGTTGTCGTTGTCTATATTATCATTCAGTGCAATTCTTTGGCTTTGTACATACAGCAAAGAGCAACCTATAATGCCTACAGGAACTACTTCATCCCTATCAACTTTAATAAAGGACATTTGAAACAATTTATTGCCTCCTCATGCGAAGGGCAGCATATTTTGCTTTGACTCTCCAAGCTTTCACCTTATTATTTTTTCTGATGTACACGAAATGAAATATGAACTAATAAAGATTTTAATTTTATTTTTTTATCCGTTGACCATTAAACATAGCTCAAAATCTATATATCCATATTTTTAGGTATATGTATATCCACGTTAGATAATTTACATTTCATGAAAAGCATTTTGTTGCTGATTAAATTCAAGTTATTTGCATAAAATATAAATCACTTATTTATGATATATTCGATTCTCAATTTGTATTTTGCGAGTAGCTTTTAGTAGTTAAATGGCAGTAGATTGAATCCTGCGAAGACATTGATAGTAGATACAGTCTTTAATATAAAATGGTACCTAATTTGCAATCTCTGATTTAACTGCTTAGTATCGTATCCTTACCTACTAGGATATGCTAAATAGTCATGTGTGTCTGTTTGATACACCAAGTCCGAGAGCCATAAATTAATAAAGATTTAACCGGTTATATTATTATCATAATAAGACAGTTCTGATTGCTAGATTTGAATCGGTCTGGTAATCTCGTATTTGCTGAACAATTCTATTTTTGGCAGAATAAATTAATTTGCATGCAGATTTTTGAATTTTTAACCTGCTCAAGTTTTTTCCTACTGCACCCACTATAAATACGCCACCGATCTGTGCTGTTAGATATAGTTACCTTTGAAATCTCAAACGCACTACACATCTGTCTAAACATGAAGTTCCTTATCGTCTTCGTTGCTCTCTTCGCCCTGGCCGTGGCAGCTCCTGCTGAAGTTGAAGTAGTGCGCCAGTTATTGGATGTCCAGCCTGACGGCTACAAGGAGGAGTAAGTGAGACATCTAAAGAGTCCTTGAGCACATGCTGATTCTTGAGTTTCCCCAATACAGAACGGTGCTATCTGATGGTACTAGCTCACAGTCTGAAGGTGTACTTACAAAGGCTGGCACAGAACAAGAATCTCTTGTCGTCAAGGGCTCATACAGCTTTGTTGCCGACGATGGTGTTACCTACTCTGTTAGCTACATTGCCGATGAGAACGGTTTCCAGCCACAGGGTGCTCATTTGCCCGTTGTCTAAACATTTGAAAGTTGAACTTTTAATAAATTGATTGTTTTATGAACTCTTTTGGTGTTTTCAATTGTGCAAATATCTATTATCAATCAATGAATATGATACAATATAATAATAACTACACTTAACATTAGCAACTGGTCATCAATCCTGAATCAGCTGAAAACCCAACCAAATACCCTCAATCATAAGGCAGCCCTAAATATGTCTCTTGCATTGGTGATGCGTCAATCAACCATCAGTCAGTTAATCTGGCTAGATATTTCGTTGAAACACAATTGATTGAATTGAGATGGAAGAGAAACTGGTGGCATTTTATTCAACATGACAATGAGTTTGTTTTCGCTGTTTGTTTGCTAGCGTTGCTTGAGAAATGATTTTGTTTGATCTTAAACCTAGTTAACATATGGATGCTGCATGACTGAGCGCCGTCTGTTGACTGCTGCTGTGCTTATTGAACGGCACGGGGCAAGTGATCGCCCTCTGGCTGGAAGCCATTCTCATCGGCCACATACTTGACCGTGTAGGTCTTGCCATCGTCTCCCACATAGGTGTAGTAGCCGCGCACAGTGATTGCCTCGTGGTCGGTGCCCACGTTCTTCAGCTGGCCCTCCTCATAGTGTGCTTTGTCGCTCGTATCCAAGCTGCCTCGTCGAAGATGAGAGGAAGAGAAACCAGTTTTCATGTTCGTTTTGTTGACCTTGACACAGTCACACAGTCACACAGTCGCCGCTACGAGCGATACTCACCTAAACTTATAGCTCTCTGGCTGCACATCCGAATCGTAGCGCAGCACCTGCGCCTCCTCCTGAGCTGCGGGCGGTGCTGCCCGCACCGAGACGCAGGCCAGGCAAACGAGAGCAGCGGCAAAGGCGTACGAGTATTTCATCTTGCTGATTGCAGTTTTTCTGGGGCTGGTGTTGTGATACGCACAAGGAGCTTGCAGTCAGTGCATGCCAAACGTAAACGCAAGGTCCAATTTATAGTCAGACTCTTGCCGAAAAATTCCCTTAAAAATTCCCTAAAAAAAAAGTTTTGTATATACATATATCTACAAGAGGTATTTATGTACGCGCACTCGTAAACCCGTTTTCCTGCGTCCAACCTTTATTACTTAACTCGGCTTGGTTTATCTTTTGGCAATTGGCTTTGATTGCTTGCAGCCAAACCTCACCCAATTATTTTTGCATTGTCTTTCTTTGCCAGCTAGTCAGCTAGGCGTGAACTGGGATAGCCGCAGACAGTCGAATGGATATACATAGATGTAATCATTGCTAACGGCTAACGGGGTCACTCGTATTTGGCTCAAGTGCAAGTGAAATGCTGAAATCATTAAATCGAATCTCTGAAATTTCAGCATCGCATTTTTTATCTGGCATTTGCAGAGCTTGTTAGCGTTTGGCTGTTCGTCTGCAGCTTTAAGCAAATTTTCAGACTTTCCGAATCGACTTGAATACGAATTTCTAAATATTTGTTATTTCACAGAAAATTGTAGACATGCGCTAAGTGGCTCAAAGGGAGGGTAGAAAATTGTTTTGAATGCATAATAAATGTGATATTGTTTTCATATGATAATATAATACTCAGGCTTATAATAACTCGCTTTGAAAATGATTTCCTATAATAAAATTGTCTTAATTTAGTATTGAGATATTAAAAAAAATGCCTCCTAACAAACTTATTTTAAATTCAATACAATTTGCATCCAATTAATTGTGATCTCGTTTCGATCTGCTGATCATATGCAAACAAGTAAATATTTTTGCAATGCAAAATTTTAGTCACTCGGCCGCCGCGATGCAGTAGAGTTGGAGACGCTGCCAGTCATGATCGGACCCAAGCCGCTCGGCCTTATCGTTGTGATGGTCAGCTCGATTTGCATTGGGCATCACGCCGAGGCACTTCCCAGTGGCAACAAAACGCAAGTATTTGGTAATGATAAATGTGTGTGTTTCGCCTCAGTTACGAGACGATCGACGGCTGGAGACGGCCCACCGACCTGGAGGCCATTGCAACCACTGGATGGCGCCCAATGGCGTCCACTCTGAGCTCAGATATCTGGCAGACGAGAATGGCTTTCAGTCACGAGCCAAGCAGCTGCCGCTACTAAAATCCGATCCGATCACTGATCTCATGTGTTAAATGCTAAAAGATGACCATAAATATATGTATATCTATATCGAGTATATGTTTGTGTATTGATTGTCGATTCCTGATAAGCTTTGCGCATCAATTTCCATACGCCAAATGAATTCTAACACAGCATGAAATTAGCATATGGCATCATGTGAAAAAAATGCTTGTGCGTGTGTATTATGAATATTATTATCATAGATGACGGCAAGCCGCTGTGGAAATACCCTAACTCTAGCTATTCGCATATTTACAAAGTCAAGATTTGATACAGACTATGTGCATAGATATGTGATCTATGTAGTAGAGTCCATACGCTGCACTAGATTCACCATGTATAGGGTCTTGGGGAATTTATCTTCTACTTGTTATGTACATGCACAACATAGTCAATTGACTCTTGCTTAAGCAAACCCGTTGCTCGGACAGTTTTGGCCGTTGCGTTAACAGCTGGTCAGCTGGCCAGGGCCGGAACCGGTTCAATAAACACGCTTTAAACAAAGACAGCAACGAAAGTGAGAACTGCACGGCAACAGCAGCAGAGCGCAGTAATACATTAAAAATGAAAAATAAAAAATAAAAATAAAATACAAAATACAAAATAAAGATAAAGAAAACGACTAAGAAGAAGCCGAAGCAGATATGAGCAGCAAAATCAAAAGTCAGCTAAAGGGCAAACTAGTGCAGCTGCGCTCCAGCGGCTCATTGTTGGGCAATTAACGCGCGGCGCGGCGCGGCGGGGCGCGGCGCGGCTCATCTTTTGGCCAAACGCCTCATTTATCAATCGTTAACTGCAAAACAATCAAACGATGTCGAGAGTTACGTATGTACGCGGCTGATTGATGGGCAGCCAAGGGAGCGGCAGACGGCCGAACTGCCGGCAGGGCCAGCAGGGATGGACAGCAGCAGCCACTGTTGAATGTGCTACAGCACATTGCGCATACGCCCCGTACAGCCAGCAGCTACAGCGCGCAGCTTGTTCGTTTTTTTCGTTTTCGCTCTCTTCTTCTTGTTGCTCTTCTGTTTTCATTTTCATTTATTTTATTGACTAAGGTCATCAGCAGCAGCAGACCGACACATTGAGCTCTTGAATCTCGTTGAATCTCGTTGAATCTCGTGTCGCTTCTTCAGTTAACAACTGATGCCTGCCACCGACAACACCCCCGCCCCCGCCCCCGCCCATCGCAGTCTGCAGCTTGCAATGCAGGCTCAGCATGCTGGGGTTTTTTAAGGTCAGCTTAATGCAACGAAATTGTGTCACCTGTTGATAAATAAATACAAAAATGCCCATAAATTGCGATTAAGTTCTATAAAAGCCGAAAGTTTCCAGAAATGCATTAAGCATGATCGTTAAAAAAAAAAAAAATACCCCGTATGGCTTTAAAAAAAAAAAAAAATAAATAAAATAAATAAATAAATGAATTTAAAAAAATAAAATAAAATAAATTAAAATTGTTATTTATATGTTATTCGTGACATATAAAAATATATAATACAGCAGGCAAATGTTGGCTAAAATAAAAATATATATAATGAAAAAATTTATTTAAAAATTTAAAAAAAATTTGTTTTCTTTTAATTAAATATATTTTGCAGCAATAATAAAATCTTGCTTCTCCATATTAAATGCCCAAGTTACCCAAGAGCTTGGCCCTGGACTAAGCTAGACTTAGCTAGTTGAGATAATATATTCTTTTTAATTTTAGCACATTATACACTCGCATGAACTATTTCCTGCTAAGTCTCTGCTTCCTAAATTAAAGCCAACTGTAAGGTACATGCACATAAATATATTTAGTAGATTTTTGTTTTGTTTTCGTTGTGGATTTTGGTGCAATTAAATTCAGACGTTGACCTATTGCCATAGTTAGGCAAACACGCGCGACTCTGCAAATATTTGCTAGCACATTTCATTATCACTTATCCATTGCGCATTATTGTAATCGCTATGAATGCGAATGTGATCATCATGATGATCATGATTAGGCATTGGCCGAGGAGATGACTCTTGAGGGCCAATTGAAATGAGATTTGAGTGTACATCAAATGCTTAATGGGTTTTGTGGCTTGTTCAATTAAGAGCTTAAGGCATACACAACTACAACTGTACGCACACTCACACGCACACACACACTCATATATACATACAAATAGGGTGCCTCTTTAGCATAGCCAGAGCAAAGTCAACAATTATATAATTTGTGTGTGCATTAAAGGCGATTGTTATGGCTACCTGATTGTGTGTAAGCGAGAGTAGGTCTCTCCGTATATGTGTGAGTGTGTGTGGGAGCAGTTGGGTTTCTGCCAGACGAACTACTATAAATAGCTGGCGATCTCATTAGCGGATGCCACATAATTCGTTTGCCTTCAATTGTGACAACTGCGGTAGCGCGTCGTGAACTCCCGAATCTTCAATAAGAAAATATGCATACCATCAATGCTTGTGCCTTTGTCCTGTGCGCCTTGGCGCTCGTATCCAGCAGCTTGGCGGCGCCCTTGGATGACTCGCAGCAGGCCACAATTCTGCGCTACGACAACGAGAACATCGGCACCGACGGCTACAACTTTGGGTGCGTATAGACACGAAAGGATATAGCCAGGCCGGCAGACAGGATATAGAGTAATGTGCATTCGTTTTGCAGCTATGAGACAAGCGATGGAGTCACACGCCAGGAGCAGGCGGAACTGAAGAATGCCGGCACCGAGCAGGAGGCGCTCAGTGTGCGCGGCTCCGTCAGCTGGGTGGCGCCCGATGGCCAGACCTACACGCTCAACTACATTGCCGACGAGAACGGTTTCCAGCCCCAGGGCGATCATCTGCCGCACAACTAAGGGCCAAATCCTCCAAGTGCCCACACACACACACAAATCAGTATTTTCTCTGCAAAGTTAAACAGAATAAAAGTAAATTGTTAAAAACAAATTCAATTGTTGATGGGCTTCAGTAAAGTTGAGGTCAAACTGCGAGTCTGAAGATGATCTTAATGGCCATCACATTCGAGTCACTTGGCAGCAGATTAGCTATATCTCACGTAAGCCAAATATTGACAATACTCTTACAGCTTGACATAGGTTGATTGAAGGCATAGACATAGACACGGTTTAGAGGCTTGTTAAATTCATTTGAAATGAAAGGCTAGTTGCCATCAGAGCTCGCGTATATATTAAGAAGAATCTTCAAGCTTTATACAGATCTAGTTAGAGGTATAAGCATGGACTTAAAGCAAGAGGATTGGAGATTTAGTATTAGAGTGTTAGAGTTCTATAAAGGTTCTGCATGCAGACTGAGTAATAAGAATACTCCTAGAACTTGGCATAGATCTAGGTAGAAGACAGATAGAGCTATGATAATATAGATACATAGACATGAAAAAATGTCTCTTATTGGAGGCCAATTCAAAACTGAACAAATTAAATCAATTTTGAGCAGACTAAACTGTTTTTTTATAGTTTCTGCTCTCTTTGCTTTGCTTGATAAATACTAAATACTAACTACGCAATATTTCAAATTGAATATGCCTTTATTTAAAGTATACTTTCAATGGCAATGCAACCCAACTGCATAGTAATTGAGCTTATCTCATGCTGAGGTCATAGAAAATCAAAGTCAATCAAGTTCTGGATCTGCTGCGCTGCGATGCAACGCAAAAGCACTTCGCAGTAGATTTATCATAGCTAAATAATGACAGATCAGTGATATTTTGATTTAGCTACATCTTGACGTTTTTATAATTTTTTTGATTTGTTTTTGATTTATTTGTATTTGTTATTTGTTTTTAGCATTTGTGGAATGACAATAAATGATTTTTATTCTGTATGCATTTGGCTGTGGTGCCAAACCAATGCACTATGGGTAAAAAGTCGATTTTTTTGGCATTTATTCAAAAAAAATTT